GTGTGAATGACACAAACTTTTTTTTTTTGTTTTGCGGGTTTGATAATAAAATGCTGCGGCTGTAACAACTGGCTCGCATCATCTTCGTGAGAGCTGTCACATGAGTGCGCGCTATCCAATGAAGACCTCTCCAATACTCTGATCCAGCGCAGAGGAAGACGTTCAGACACCGAGGAAGACCTCAGACCTGTTAGATTCGCTCCCGAAGTTTCTGGAGGACTGGACGGACCGCGTTCCCTCACTGGAGCTGAATGATAAAGACGCTGTTTGAAGCGGCTCACGCATGCTGGACGCGCAGATTAATGGTAAGGTTTGGAAAACAATAATTCTGAAGAGAGGCTGTTCGAAAATGCGCTTCATTTTGCATCATTCCTCCTCGTCACACATTTTAAGTTTCAGTTCTAAAGCTGTGAAGCGCAAACTATTTTATGTGGTACAAAACATAGAAATACAAGAAATACAGATAGATTAATAGGCCTACTGATAATCTAAAAAATCTAATGCGAATGCATTATATAAAAGACACTATTTAAAAGACGGTGAATTATCTGGCAGGCAGTAGGAATTAGCTTGAATTCCGCCTATAACGTGTTTCATTTGATAAATGTTTATTTAAATATTTGTAGTTAAACACATGGGATATAAAATATATTTTATTCACTCATGCATTACAGGTAAGTGGATATAGGCTAAATTGTGGTTAAATAAATATGAAATAAACTGACACTGTCAGTTATTAAAAGGAAAAATCTTCCATTTATCTGGAAGATAAATCCAGATAAATCCTTTTAACTTTTTTCCCGTTAAAATCTGTGTACCATTTCTTCAAGCTTTTCAAGCCTTTTATCGAGCGTAGCTTTTTGCATCAGTTTGATATTTAAATATTGTCCTTATTTAAATATATTGCAGTACTTAAATGCAAGCAACAAGGACTTTTTTTTCAGTAGTTACCCCAAAACATTAAGAAAACTAATTCGATAAAAAACGTAAATAACGATTAATTCCACCACCTGAATTAATGAAGCAATTTGACTATAGTCTGTAGTTTAATTTCCACATAAGAATGACAATAAGTATTCATCGTGAATATGAATTAATTCATCAGTAAATTATAATTAATAATAATAATAAAAGTATAATAGAATTAGGGACAATCAAATAATAAGTATTGTTATTTGAATTACAGTTGCTTTTGATAACCTCCCGCTTAGTCCTTTTAGTATGAAAACTATGAGTGAACAAAACATCTTATTAGCTCGAGGTGTGTGTGTGTGTGTGTGTGTGTGTGTGTGTGTGTGTCTCGTGAAGTGGGCGTGGGAGTCAGGCGGTCGGTGGGTGGGTGGTCACGTCCATATAGGAGGATGACAGGAGTCAGTATAATCAAATCCATCTTTTCCTCTGCGTGTCCAGGTACAAGACAAAACAAATGCATCGAGAGCTCTAGACCTCTAGCATTATTTTCCCATAACCATCCTTTTGATTTGACACTTTTACACAGTCGTCGTTTTATTTGACCACTGTTCGGGAATACGCTAAGGTATTTTACAGTGCATGCTTTACTTTGTGTGATAAAGTTGTCTTGTGATGTTTAGATCATTATAACATTATACTGTGGCCAGAGTGCACGTAATTAAGCGGTCTTGATTTTATTTTCTCATTTAATTGTTCAATAATAATTAAAAAAATGAAAACAAAATAATGTGTGTGTGTGTATATATATATATATATATATATATAATTATTATTATTTTTTTTTACGATCATAGCATCTCTAACAGAAGCGAATGATTTGTTGCCTCAGTCACAGACGCATCTGTGAGCGTGATGGACTTCACAGCAGATGAGCAGCTGGAGGAGTTGTGTCCGGTATGTGGAGATAAGGTGTCCGGATATCATTACGGCCTTCTTACCTGCGAAAGCTGTAAGGTACGATCCAGCTTGTCTTTTGTTATTAACTCAACGTGTCGCACTCGCTTAATAATCATAAACCAAAGAGTTTATGAACAGTGAAGAATTCCATGACTTAATTATTTTAATGTAGCTAATGCTAGGAAAATTATTACTACGTAACAGTCTTTCTTAATGTCATTAATACAATTTATTCAGTCATTTATTTAATAACAGCATTTGGTAATGCTTTATTTTACAATGTCCTTGTTAAGCATGCTACATTTAGTTTGTAATAACAGCATATACCTAGCACTTGTTGTTAATATTACTCACTACTCAAATGTATAATTGCACTGTAACAAGGACATCTTAAAATAAAATGTAATCCAATATCTTTTTGGTTTCATCATGTATGCAAATACATACTGCATTTGACTGTCAGCTCTGGTCTGTTCGTTTAGAACAGTCCAATATGATTACAGGCTGTACTCCTGTTGTTTTTAAACAGTTGACAGAGCCTGACAGAATATAATCCTTATTATATGCATTATCATGACAGGGTTTTTTCAAGAGGACAGTTCAAAATAACAAGAGATACACATGCACACAGAACCAGGACTGTGGCATTGACAAAACCCAGAGGAAGAGATGCCCCTTCTGTCGCTTCCAGAAGTGCCTCAGCGTCGGCATGAGACTCGAGGGTGAGCCGTGCTTCTCATTAGAAAACTTACATGTAGAGAAAACAGGAAAGCTTTTGCTGTAAAGGAGCCAAATCAAAATTATAAGCTGTCCTGTCATTTAGGAAGCCACCCTGAATGTCCTGATCATATTACTGCTGTCTTGAACAGCTGAACCTGAGAGAATGTAATGCTTATTATATGACATTAAATCATGTATTATATGCATTTATGTTATATTTTGACTCCAGGCTAAGCATAGCTTGTCATTAAAGACATTTTAGTAAAATATAAAATATATCTAGAGAAAAGGGAAAACATTTCATCCGATATTTCATTATCATGATTTAATTAAAATGATTTTTGAAGAATTAATGTCATATTTAATGACACTCATTATGGAGTTTATACCCAGAAGATGAAAAGACTTTAAAAAATATCTAAAATAGCCTTGATTTAGTTACAAGTAATAAAAACCATGTGTTTTGATTCATTGGGCTACATCTATACCAGTTAACATCTTGTTAAAAATATATTTTAATGTTTCATCGCCATTTATGAACAAGTACCCAAGCGTATTTTCTTCCAAATCAATTTAAATTATGAACTTTTTACTTTTTTCAAATTTATTTGAAAGTTTCTGGGATGGAAAATATCCTTGTCAGTCTCTTATTTTGCTCTCTG